AGGAATATTCTTAAGAATGATAAACCTGATGACGTATTTCCTAGCACGAGCAGCGTCATAACTCCAACTTCTGAGACTACCAGAAGTTAAGGATTACGAGATCATAGATTGTCGGATATCACCTTGAGGCGTCTGGCCTCTGTTGTGTTTATCTAAATGGCATTTGAGGTGGTTGGTGTCGCTCTTATGATGAGCTTGGAAAATCTTTCCGCAGAATGCACATTTAGCCTTCTGGGTGAGGATCATACCGTGTTCATCCTTGGTGACATCTATCTTCACGTAAAAATTCCACACATCGGATCTCGGCCTTTTAGGAGCTCTTGGTGTAGAATCATCGCCACCGGATCCGGGATTAACATCGGTAGGATCGGTAGGAGTAGACCCGGCAGGAGGACTCATTTCAAAATCAGGAGATAGGTTTTGCCATTCATAATCAGATCCGGAAGCCATTTGATTAAAGAATTAGAGAGTATAAGAGATTATTAGATAGTATAAGAGAGTATAAGAGTGTATTAGAGAGTATAAGAGAGAAGTGGATGAGTTTTGGTGTGAGAAAAACAAATAAAAACCTCACTCTATTTATAGAGACAGCTCCCTACGCAAATAAACAAAATACCCTCACCATATGACTGTTTTTGACCATTTTTAAGGGCAAAACGGTCAAAACAGCCAAATTTGGCCGTTATGATCGGGTCAGGCCCGGCTTTTGCCCGCACGGTTGTGTCCGCGCCGGGGCCTGGCTCGGTTATTTTTGCCGCGACGATTTTCTCGTCTAGGGCTGCGGCCGGGGCTCGGACGGGCCACCGCGGAGGTGGCCCGTCCCCGGGCCCGGAACCCGGTCTTGTTGGTCTCTTTGTTTTGATGATGTTTAACAAACAATTTACCACGAATATTATTTGTCTGATATTTGTGTTTATTTATTTATTGTAGACAAACAACATGTTGGAGGATGGATGGATTGCGCCATAGCGATCATATCAAATGAAGGTTGGCGGAATAGTGGAGTGAAGTCTTGCTATCAAGTTAAAGATCTAATTACAAGCTTCATCCAAGTTTACCAAGTTGAGCTACAATAAAGATCAAGATCAAGCTTGGGTAACATTAGTTTAGGTTTATATTATGTGTGTTGGTACTTTAAGCTCAATCATATATACACACACATTATATTGGTTTCCTTGTATATATATAGTTATATATATATACA